ATAACTGGATCAGTAACGGGCACAGAGCTCCACTTTGACTCAGATGCCAACAAGGTGGAGGTGGGGTACTGGTATGGGCTGGTATTATTAAAGATGAGCTAGTTGGACCTTTTTGGGTTGAGATGGACTCAAAATCAACTCCCAACCTACTGCTAGTTTTTAGAAGACACTTTCTTCAAGCAGTGGTACAGGAAAAACTATGCATCTTTCAGGACCATGATTTTTATGCAAGACAATGCTCCATCGCATGCATCGACATACTCCATTGCATAGCTAGCCAGTAAAGGCCTTAAAGATGAAAGAATGATGACATGGCCCCATTCCTCACCTGACTTAAATCTTATTGAGAACTTGTGGGCCCTTCTTAAATGGGAGATTTATGGTGAAGGAAAACAGCACACCACTTTGAACAGTGTCTTGGACACTGATTGCTGCTGCACAAAAAGTTCGTGGCACGACAAAACCGCGGTCCACTAAAGCGTGCCCGATTAAAGCGCATACGTGACATCATCAGCAGCGCAACAAATACGACCGCGGAGAAAAAAGGGCGCTTTAAAAAGCGCTTTTAAAGCAAGCCGATTCACATAAAGGTAAGGGTTAGGTTTAGAGTTACGTTAAGTGTTAGGGTTAGGTTAAGGGTTAGCGTTAGGTTAAGGGTTAGGGTTAGGTTTAGGGTTAGGTTAAGGGTTAGGCTTAGGGTTAGGTTTAGGGTTAGGTTTGGGGGGGTTAGGTTTAGATTTACGCGTTAATTTTAAGTTTCCCGCTCACAGCGTGATGTTTTCGTCGCGCTGTGATGACGTCACGTACGCGCTTTCGTCGAGCGCGCTTTAGTCTACCGCAATTTTGTGGTGGAACCCAAAAAGTTGACTGTCAACAGATTAAGAAACCGACAGGCTCCATGAATGGAAGGCTTATGACTATTATTAAAAAGATGGGTGGCTATATTGGTCACTGATTTTTTTTTTAATATTAGAAATGTTTATTTGTACATTTTGAGTTATTTATTATTCTCATTTTAACAGATGCAAATAAACAAGTGGGATGGGCAAATTTTCATTTACCGGTAGTTGCATAATAATTGTGCATACATATCCTCCTAAGAAAGCCATAACCTCACTTTTACTTTCTTAAATTTTCAGGTTTGAAGTTTATTAACATTTTGGATTGACCAAGAGCCCTGTAGTTGTTCAATTATAAAATTAATCCCCCCCCCAATGCAACTTGCTTAATAATCGTGCAGTGTAGTGTGTTAACAGTAGTGTAAACAAGAGGTTATATGGGCATGAGTTACTATGAGCAGAGCCTCATAGTCCAAGAAAAGGCTCAACCAGCGCACCACCCAAAAGTGTGCAAAAGCCTTTCTAACCATGGTTGGCACCTGATCTTTGAGCAGCTGCCACAAGTCTAGGATTCCAGATTGTGCTCCTGGGTCTCCCTGGGATAGCGCAATCCCATCCATGACTAAAGATGGAAGAACCTTATTTCCAGTGGTTCTAAATAGCCATTCCATCTTGTTATGGTTGATGGAGACCATTAGGCCCCAACCAGTGCCAACCGCTTCCAGACACTGAGACAGAACATTTCTCCAAAAGCCTGGGGTAGAGATATAAAGGGTATCATCTGCATATTGATATCTTACACCAAGTTCATGGATCATCTCACACAGCATCATGTGTATGTTAAATAAAAGGGGAAAAATAGAACCCCGAAACCCCATGAATTAGGAGATGCTGGCTGGATTTTGCTTCCTCAACATTGACTGGAACCAGCTCGGACGGAGGAGAACCAGCACTAATTCTGGAAGCTGACCCAGAGTATCATATCATGAGAAGTCAAGAAGTCAGGGGTTTAGATAATCTGCTTTATCCGGGTTTCTCTGAAACTGTCATGTGACCACTCCACCACCTTCCCTAAAAAGGGAAGATTGGAGTCCGGACAAAAACTCTCCAGACTACTTGATGGTCCGTTGATGTGGCATACCACCATTACTTTAAGAGCTGGTGGGGGGACCATTCCTTCTCTAAAAAGGAGTTTATTCTTTTCTTTATTCTTTCTTGGCCAAGTGATTGGACACACAAGGAATTTGTCTTTGGTGCCTATGCTCTCAGTGTACATAAGGAGAATAAAATACATTCAAGAATAAAAAGATACAACACTTATAGTCAAGGTTACTAATAAGCTATCAAATCATACTAGGAAACAATAAAAAATATAAATTAAAAGATACAAGCAACATGGTTATAGTCATAAGTGGGGAGAGATAGATACTAGGAAGGAAGAGAATAGCAATACAATCTTAGTAAATTATTGACAGTGTTGTATCTTTTTATTCT